TCAGGCAATTCTCCTGCCTCAGCCTCCTGAGAAGCTGGGACTACAGGCACGCGCCACCATGCTCAGCTAATTTTTTGTAGTTTTAGTAGAGACGGGGTTTCACCATGTTGACCAGGGTGGTCTCGATCTCTTGACCTCGTGATCCACCCGCCTCGGCCTCCCAAAGTGCTGGGATTACAGGCTTGAGCCACTGCGCCCGGCTAGAATAGTTTTAAATTTACAGAATAGTTGTCAGGATAGTATAGCGTTCCCGTTATTCTGCACTCAGTCTTCCCTATTGTTAAATTTACATTAAAATGATACATTTCCCACAACTAATGAACCAGCGCTGATACATTATTATTAATTAAAGTTTGTTCTTTATTTGGATTTCCTTAGTTTTTCCCTTTTCTGTTCCAGGATCCCACCCAGGACACCACATTACTTTGAAGTGTCATGTCTTCTTAGTCTCATCTTGACTGGCAGTTTCTTAGACTTTCTTTATTTTTAAGGACCTTGACAGTTTTGAGGAGTACATGTCTTTCAGTTTTGGATTGTCTAATGTTTTCCTCATGGTTAAACTGGATTTAGGAATAAGGACCACAGAGGTAAAGTGCCATTTTCCTCATATCATATCCAGGGCATACTGTCAACGCGGCTTATGACTGTTGATGTTCACTTTGATCACCTGGCTGTGGTATTGTTTGTCAGGTTTCTCCACTGTGAAGTTACTCTTTTCCCTCTCTTTTCATCCTGTCCCCTGTACAAGGAAGTCTTATTCATTTTGATAACATTGGCGTGGAGACAGGATCTGACACAGAAGACATTCTGTAAATGTTTGTTGAACTGAACTGAGTCGCTATTATCTTGTGAGTCCTCACAAAAGCCTTGCAGGTAATTTTCTCCATTTTAGCCATAGGAAAAGAAAACAGAATTTGAATAACTTCAAGTGAATCACTTGAGGTCAGGAGTTTGGAGACAGCCTGGCCAACATGGTGAAACCTCATGTCTACTAAAAATACAAAAATTAGCCAGGTGTGGTGGCGTGTGCCTGTAGTCCCAGCTACTCAGGAGACTAAGGCAGGAGAATCACTTGAACTTGGGAGGCTGAGGTTGCAGTGAGCTGAGATTGTGCCACTGCACTCCAGGCTGGGTGACAGAATGAGACTTAGTTTCAAAAAATATAATAAAAAAATTTTGGTTTTCATTTCTGGCTCCTGGCCAGAGCTCCTGAAACTCTTGAAATTTCCTAAGTGATAAGAATGAAAGTGGTATCTTGTTATTCATAACAAGCTCCTTTCAATCACATCTGAGTTTGTATTAATGAAGTGACTTTTGGAGAGCCCCAAAGAATGGGGGAGAGGGGCTGGTTGCTAGGGGAACTAACCATGTGATTCGAAGGTTGGAACTTTCAGCCTCACACCATGACCTCAAGGGAGAGGAGAGGGGCTGGAGATTACCAGTGGCCAATGTCTTAATCATGCTTACGTAATGAAGTCTCAATTGGAAAAACCCTAAACAAAGGGGTTTGGAGAGCTTCCAGGTTGGTGTTGGAAGGACTGAACTCCTGAAGAGGGCCTGGAAGGTCTGTATCCCTTCCCCAAACTGAGAAATGTAAAAATTCTTTCTAAGTTCTGTGAGCTGTTCTCACAGAACTTAGGTTCTCAAATTATTGAACCTAAGGAAGGGGTTGTGGGAATCTCTGTGCTATGGTCTGAATGTGCACTCTCAGAATTCATAAATTGGAAATCCCCAAGTTGATGGTATTCAGAGGTGGGGTGTTTGGGAAGTGACCAGGGCATGGGATTAGTGCCCTTACAAAAGAAACCCAAGAGACCTTATGTGCCCTTTCTGCCATGTGAGGACACAGCTTTGTCTACAAACCAGGAAAGAGGCCCTCACCAGACACCCATTCAGCTGGTGCCTTGATCCTGGACTTTCCAGCATACACAACTGTGAAAAATAAGTTTTGAGTGTTTGTAAGCTACCCAGTTAATGGCATTTTGTTATAACAGCTCAAACAGGTGAAGACAACCCAATTCATAGCCAGTCTATCAGAAGTACAGGAGACCCTGCACTTGCTATTGGAATCTAAAGTTGGGGGCATTCTTGTGAGACTGAGCCCTTAACCTGTGGGATGTGCAATAATGTTGGATAATTAGTGTCCACATTGAGTTAAATTGTAGGATACCTAGTGGGTGTCTGCAGAGAATTAAGAGAATTGCTTGGTGTGAAACCCCTCCACCCCTGACATTTGGTCTGAAGTATTATGAATAGAGGAACAGTTTTCTTTTTAGGCAGATTTTTTTTCTGTTTTGTTTTATGATATATCCTAAGCATCTAGAACACTGCCTGGTACAGAGCTGGTGCTCGATAAATTATGAGTATGCATTGTGCCAGAATTTATGCCAGGTACAGGGCATATAGTTGTGTAAAAGCAGAGATGGTTCCTGCCCTCTTAGAACTTCCAGCCCAGCACTACACAATCCAGTGATTTTTCTGCCTGCCTGGGCTGCCCTCCTCTAAGAAACATCAGGTGCCTAATTGCTGAGCTAAAAGTAGACTTTCCTCTTAGCAGTGAGCAATTTTCAGTTTTGTTTTTATTTTTCTTTTAATTCTAAAAAAATGAGGAAGGGAAAGAATAATGCATTCTATTTAGTCACTCTAAGTTAAAAGTCCACAATTTTCCTCAATACAAAGACAAAATAGTGTTATCTTTAAAGCTCCAGGCCTGGTAGATAGCCAAAAGAGGTCATGACTTACATTTGGTTTACTTTTCCTTGCCTTTTTTTAAATCTAAAGGAAGATGGTTGTAATTTTTTATACTAATGAAGAGTGAAAGGATGTGCAATAAACATGTTTATTGCTGTCTTTTTGTAACTGTAGAATGTTTCATTTATGAGATCCTGACCTAATTCTTGAGATCTTCTGTGTGCTATTTGTTGACATTAATTTTTACATGGCCAAAATGCTTAAGAAAAAAAGGAGCTAAAATTGAGTGTATTTAGAGATTATCTGCTGGTTCAGCACACTTCAGCTGTTGTGTCAGCAACAATACTTTCTCTCAACAATACGTTCTCACACAGGCAAAATCATGCCATCATGAGAAACTCCAAGGCTGGGGATATAACTGAAAAGTGGAAGGAATTCAGGAAGAATACTGCTGTGCAGGTATGAGACTGAACAAAATGACTTTTAGTAGCCCTTCAAAATCTCAGACTGTTGTTCTAGATAATGTAAACTCCTAAATCTCGGTTGGCATCATTTATTTAAAAAATTCAGTTGATAACATTTTGTGTATATCTTCTAGATAATTATTTTAATTCTTCACCTCACTTTGTTGCAAATGTATTCTAACTTAAGTTTGATATTTCATCTGAATTTCCTTCCCTGCACAAAAATTGAGATGCAGATATGAATTGTTTTGCCCCATAATCTTGTTGTCAGAAAAAAAACTGATGAAAGGAAACCATCATGGAAATAGCTTTGATTAGTTATAAACAGTTACAGTGATGTCCTATAAGCCCATGATATGACACCAAAATTTACACTGCAAGATTAAGAAAATTTTTTCTTACATGTGGCAGCAACTTAATTTTGTTTGAAGATTGGCGTATTGTGTGACATTCTCAATAAAACACAGAACAAAAGAAAACACAGGCTGGGCATGGTGGCCCACACCTGTAATCCCAACACTCTGGGAGACGAGGCTGGCAGATCACAAAGTCAGGAGTTTGAGACCAGCCCGGCCGATGTGGTTAAACCCTGTCTCTACTAATAATACAAAAATTAGCGGGGCGTGGGGGTGCACGCCTGTAATCCCTGCTACTCAGTAGGCTAAGGGAGGGGAATCAATTGAACCTGGGTGGCAGAGGTTGCAGTAAGCTGAGATCATGCCATTGTACTCCCAATAGAGTGAGAGACTGTCTCAGAAAAAAAAAAAAGAAACTGCAACTCAAGCAATGACCCTTACACAAGATCCTCTGTAATGACTTTGATAATGCATAAGGCATTAAAATTTGTATTCCTGCATCACCCAGTGCACATACCTCCATCATAGCATTTATGCAAATGTGTATACTGTATTATAACATCGAAGACAATCCTTTCTTCCAGAAGGGTTCACAGCCACTTCCAAGGATACAACAAGCAAACAGAGACTATACACCCCAAGATGCCATAAATTAAAAGTGTGGAGAATGCAAAAATAAAAACATGGGCAGTGACAAAATGGAATCAGAGACAAAGCTAAAAATGCATACAAGGATGACCTTCACATTTGCTACAGCTGGGCCATGAATTTGTCTCTAAGCTGACAACCTCATTGGTCCCACAATTCATGGTGTCTGAAGATTAAACGTAAATCCAGTCCTTTGGAGAAGTAAAACTATTCCTGGAACGAAGATCAGATTGGAATGTCTCCCAGGGATGCTTATAAAGAGCACATTGTGTTATGTGAGGAGCAGTGTCCTTGACAGTATCCCTGACTGGGTGACCAGTGCAGAGGGATGCCTCTGATGGCAGCACAACAAAGGGCAATTTGCTGAGCTCCAGCAATGCTTCTAGGTTGGAGGACTGTCTTGGTGAGTATGACTTAACGTTTTATCTCCAGCACCTAGTACAGCAATTGGCATATAGCAAGTGTCAAGAAATGTTTGTTGAGTGAATGTCTAATGGACAAGAGCCAGTTTAAGTACTCCCTCTGGGGTGGCTCCCCAATTATCAAGACCTGATATCCTGCTCCCCAGCTATGCATTCTTTTGTTAAGCTGTTAAGTGGTACAGCTATGGAATATTTCTTCTACTGTTGGGTTAAACTATCATTTTCTCCCCACTACCATGATTTCTAATAAACTGCCCTTTAAATATTTTTGTGTTAAATTTCCCACATCTTCTTTAGACATGGGAGTGAGGCCAGGGGTGTTTGTTCATACACACTTACTAGTGGTGGTAGTAGTGGTATGTCAAGAAAGTCTTGTACTTAGCACATTGAGAGATCAGTCCTCAGGTAACCTTGTGAGTGCTATTGGCTTAGACCCCCACATCCAGGCTGTCCCTCAGAGCAGAGGTGGGGCTGGTAGTGGTACCAGGATAGGCCTTTGACATCAGTTTCTGTGCTGAGCATTGGGAAGACCCAGACACAGGCCACAGTAGTACCAGCATTAAAAGCGACTCTGCACTGAGTTAGCAGTTACTGACTAGGGGCTCTTTACACTCCTGTTGGGAGACTGGGGTTGGGTTGAATGCATACGTTGGAGTTTAGTTATTTTTAGCTGCCAGACTTAGAGCCCTAGGTGTGAGGGCTCATGTAAGAGTCTTTCTTCCTGGTGGTTGTTCCCACCTGTCATTTCTCACTTTCATCTCTCCGTTATCATTGACATTGAAAAGGCATTTTAAAAGAGGAGCTTGGTCCCATGAGCAGCTTTCTGTCTGCCTAGCCATGACGATGTCTTCATTGTGAAGAAGTTGTGATGAAGATAACTGTTTATCTTTCGCTGTGTAACCTTACCTTTTTCTTTCTTCAACTGCAATGCACTGTCAGATCTAGGACAAGAAACTGGGAAAGGTATTGTAGTGGCTAACAATACGAATTCTGGAAACCAAATCCTGGCCCTGCCACAAACAAGTTACTTAATTTTTCTGTGCCTCAATTTCCTCGTCTGTAAAAGGGGACAATAATAATATCTAGCTCATAGGGTTATTGTGAAGACTAAATGAGTTAACATGCACAAAGTATGTAGAAGAGTACATGTAAATAAATATTATGTAAATGTTTGCTAATAATAATGGTCATAGAAATCACTATTCTATTTAAACAGAAGAAATAGTATAGCTAGTAAATTGACATTACATTGATTTATGTCAGAGTCTTTTCTAGGCCAATAAAACAATGTTGACCATGACAGACACAATCCCTTTTCTTATGGAACTTATGGATGAGTGGGGCACAGACATTAAACTAACATTTATAAGAGTATATAAGGCAACTCTTCTATTAGGAAGTTGAGCCTTGACCCAGATTTCAGACAATCTTAAGAGTTTCAGCACATGGTAGGAATAGTGCCCCCACCTTTTTTTTTCTTTTTTTTTTTAAAGAGAGTGTTCTGGTTATCTAATGCTGTTTAGCAAGCCACCCTCAAAATTGATGACTTAAAGTAACAATCACTTATTTGCTCAGAATTCCGTAGTGGGGGCAGGGCTTAGCAGGGATAGTGCATCTCTGTTCTGTGTAGCAACTGCTGGGGTGGCTTCCCTAGGGCTGGAGGACCCACTTCCAACCTGGATCCCTCATATACTGGCTGTTGCTGGCTGGGAGCTCAGTTGGGGCCTCAGTTCTCCTTCATGTGGCTAAGTTGGGCTTCTTGCAGCATGGCAGCTGGATTCGTTGAACAGGAGCACCCCAAGAGGATAGGCCACAATGTATACGCGTTTTTTTTCCCCAGGCTGGAGTGCAGTGGCTCGATCTCAGCTCCCTGCAATCTCTGCCATTCGGGTTCAAGCTATTCTCCTGCCTCAGCCTCCCAAGTAGCTGGGATTACAAGCACCTGCCACCATACCTGGCTAATTTTTGTAGTTTTAGTAGAGATGGGGTTTCACCATCTTGGCCAGGCTGGCCTTGAACTCCTGACCTCATGATCCACTCACCTCAGCCTCCCAAAGTGCTGGGATTATAGGCGTCAGCCACTGCGCCTGGCTGTATAGGCATTTATTAAGGGTCTGATTGCATTGTGCTTGTTAATGTCTCATTGGCCAAAGCCAGTTACTCAGCCAAGTTCAGTTAGTGTGGAAGGGGGATTATGCAATGATACGAATTCTGAAAGGTGAGAATCAATTTGGTCTACTAAGGTAATAGGCTACCACAGAGAGAAAGGCTAAATATACATTTTCTAAAAAATGTTGTGTTCTTTTTTTTTCAATCACATATGCTATATCCTTTCTCTCTAAAATATCCAAGAAGTCACACAGGTGGGAAGTAAGATCTCTTGTGAGGTCCTAAGCCCTTTGGAGGGTGGTTAAGGTCTCTTGTGAGGTCCAAAGCCCTTTGGAGGATTGTTAAAATTTTTGTTAGAGGCCTCGTAATTTAGAAGAAATATTATTCTATGAAAGCAGAAGTTTTACTGTGGTTAAAAGTATGATGAAGAAACAGTACAGTTGATGAAATCATTTTATTTTGACATAGCTGGAGCTTTGCTTTTGAAAAGATTGACAAAGTAGGAGTGTCTCAGGGTTGTCTGAATAGTGTAAATGTGTAGACATACAAATTTGTTGTTAAGAGGAACCAAACCATGCTCAGGAAAATGCCACTGGACTCCAGTCAGAAGTGCAGTAAGAAAGACAAGTGGGAGGAAGATCAGCAATGCAATATTGGAAAGACTGACAGAGTGGAACGGCTCAGTGCTGAGGCTGTGAAATGTGAGTGTGTGCTGCAGCTGTCCTCACTAGACTGAAAGGCCCTTAAGGGGAGGGGTTATTGACTTAACCCCTCTACCTGTACCCCACTACCTGACACAGAGAAGGTACTCTTAAGTGTTTGCTGAATGGATACAGTTTAAAAAAACACAGAATTGGAAACTGTTCCCTCTCTTTAAGACCCCGGTGCCATACAATAATTAGAGTAACCTTTTAAAAAAATACAGCATTCCACTGATGAAAATCCTTTAATGGTTTATTTCACCCAGATATCCTTGTGACTTTCTTCTTCTTTCAGGTCTGTTCTTAAGTGAGGCCTTCCACACTACACAAGAGATCCTCACCACTTTTTCCTTTTTTTTTTGAGATGGAGTCTCACTCTGTCACCCAGGCTGTAGTGCACTGGCAGAATCTCAGCTCACTAAAACCTCTGCCTCCCAAGTTCAAGCAATTCTCATGCCTCAGCCTCCCAAGTAACTAGGATTACAGGCAGCTGCCACCACGCCCAGCTAATTGTTGTACTTTTCAGTAGAGACAGGGTTTTACCACGTTGGCCAGGCTGGTCTTGAATTCCTGAGCTCAGGCAATCCACCCACCTCAGCCTTCCAAAGTACTACGATTACAGGCGTGAGCTACCATGCCCAGCCATCCTCAACACTTTCTATAGCTCACTTTTTTTTCTTTATAGCATTTATCCTCACATGACCTGTATCTTTCTTTATGGTCTCCCTCTCCCCTTTAGATTGTAAGCCCCTTGAAAGCAGGAACTTTGTTTTGTTGACTGTGGTAGCCCCAGCTTCCAAAGTGATTCCTGACATGCAGAAGTTGCACAGAGCTGGCAGGTGCGGTGGCTCATGCCTGTAATCCCAGCACTTTGGGAGGCTGAGGCGGGCAGATCACAAGGTCAAGAGATCAAGACCATCCTGGCCAACATGGTGAAGCCTTGTCTCTACTAAAAATACAAAAATTAGCAGGGTGTGATGGTACATGCCTGTAGTCCCAGCTACTTGGGAGGCTGAGGCAGGAGAATCACTTGAACCCATGGGGCAGAGGTTGCAGTGAGCTG